AGGAGCTGATCCCAGTTGTGGTGGCGGTCTGTTTGCTCGTCGGTCGTTCACTCTTGGGGGCGTTGGTCATGCCCGAAGCAGTCGTCAAGCTATCACTGCCACTCACTCGGGCGGCGGTCTCCTAAACATCGGAAAGCCAATTCTAACTCAACTGCAGCCACATTCTGCAGAGCGGGACTTTTCTTTGGATCAGTTTAGTCCAGTCGCAGTAACCACATCAAGTCATGCACCGATGGCGATGGAGGCCTGTGATCAAACCTTGACAGCCCTGGTGTGGCCACAACAGCCGGATACTAGGATAGCATCCTCCTCCACTCCTATATCTTCTATCACTTCCTCCATTTGCGCTTCCGCTTCGTCCTCAGAATCCTCTTCCCAATTGCCTCTTCGTGAATTGAATCAGTCAACAGCAGCCTCTCCCGCACTCAGCCTTTCATCGACACTTTGCCCCGATAACTCTAGTGACCACCAACAACGTCATCAGCCATCCCTTAACTTGTCAGACAACCTGGGTGAGCGTGTTGCCACTATTTGGACACAGGGTATGCCATTTTGTGCGCCAGTTGAGAGGACTGTGTCTGTGAACCAGCCAAATGAGGATTACGATGCAATGGATGAGGTCGGACCGGCGATTATTTTATCTCTATCTCCGTCAAATAGTCTGAATACATCAAGGTTTGTCGAATTTACTTTATCCCATCTGCTTTAATTTCCTTGCACGTTTGATTTTTCATTTATCATGATTATGCCTGTGCCTCGCTCACCCTTTAAATTTTATGAATGAATATCAATGAGTTTACCTAAATTTGTTTTATGAATATTTACTCCGGGTAGCTCAAACGTAGGGGCTAAAAGCATATATATGCTGTACATTGCATGTTAGTCAGTATATTTTTTCCTAATTATGTGTTTTTCTTCAGTTTATGCCTCAAATATCAATAGTTATATTATCTGATCTGTAAATTCCTTTTCCTATTTTGTTATGTGTGAGATGTAAGAACCTTAACCATTCTTTTGGTATATATATATATATATATATATATATGTGCACGATTTCTACCTTTATAATTATATTTACTTCTTAGTGTTGGTTTAACCTCGCTTTCACAACTTGTTCGGAGCGTCAGGGCGACCTTGTGTAACATACATAATCCCGTGTTCTTTGCCATAGAATTCGTGATTTCCAGAATTGGACCATTGGCTGGGTATATTCCCAAGCGTTTTGCTGACATCGTCAGTGAGAGGCGTCATCGTAAGCACTGAGTTACAACTTATGGAAGTGACGAATTATCAAATTGGTAAGTTGTAACTCTGTTAACGATGGCGTCTCTCACTGACAATTCCGACTATGATACCGGTGAAACATTTGTGAATGTACCAAATAAATGGTCTGATGATGAGCATCACTATTAGTATGGCAGAGGATACAGAGCTAGGTACGCTCCACAAGGTCTTCCTGACGCTCCGACCAAGGTGCAAAAACAAAGTCGGACCAACACTATAAAGGTAAAGGAGATTGCGGTCAAGCAGAAGATCATTCCATCTTGATCTTCATTTCTACGATTTCTATTTTTCCTTCCAAATTTTATACGGTTATCCTCGTCATTTTCTCTTATTAGTGTATTATGATTTGTCACTTTTTTATGTTTCCTCATCCCTTGCATTTTTGGTCTCCTCGCTTGGCCAGAAATATATATTATATGCAATTACTTGCCTTCCTCACCTACATTTTAGTAATACTTTATCTACTTCTTTTTTGTTCCCTCTTGCATATTGCTTCACTGATTTATTCACTGATTAACTTGGTTATATAGAATGGTGGTTATTTGCAATCCATCCAAATCTTACTTCTCTCCAAGGCCCAATTTCAATTTTTATTTGCTGCAAACTAGACTGGTTTACAGAGAGATCAATGCGCACTATACAGTTTCAAGAGAAGCGTCATCGTTGGGATTGCTTTTAAATAATGTTAGAAAATCTGTTGTACTCAGACAAATTAATATCATTGACTAACTTTCATATAGAAAAATTCGAAAAAATGAAAACAGCGATTGGAATGGCACAGTCTATTAAATAACGAATATGTGTGGATTTTCAGTATCCCTTATATTTTAATAATCACCAAATATATTTACTCACTGAAGCTTTGTATCTAGATGTCGTCGGAACTCCGATCCCGAACATTGGCAACAAGTTCGTCCGGAAGCATCTGTGCTCACACCGCCTGTAGTCGTGCCGTCTGGAGTATGCCGCGACCCGGTTCCATCTCTCTTCCCTGGCCCTCTCCCACCACTTCTCTTTCCCTCTGATTCTCTTTCTAATGTTGTAACTTCTGAATTGCCAGCACTCCAGCCCATTGCTGCAGATGGCTTCCTGATTGCTGCCCCCGACCAGTTATTACCGAGTTCTACAGGTTTTGGGACCGGGCTTGGTCTCTGTCCTATCCAAACCGGGTAAGTGTCTATCCTTAGGTTTACTCATTCCTTATACAATGCAGAATACAAAATATCATATACAGGATATTCTATTCTATAATAGATCATTATCGTTATATATCGTTAATACGCTTTTTTAAAATTATTCACAATGTATTATGCATACATTATTCCATAATGTTATATGGAATTGCTTTTTTACTTACGCTTCATGAGCCGTTTAATAGGGATTGTTTGGTTAAAATTTTGCTTATAAAAATATATGCTAGCCTTGTTTGTTCAAAACTTAACTGTGCTTAGAATATTCTTTAGCAGATGTTTATTTAATGTACATTACTTTATGTAGTTGACTTGAAGTGTAAGCTTCTTCAATGACACCCAGAGCAACGAAATTCTAAAATGTATCCATTTCAGTATACTTTAAAATTCTTATTTTCTAAAATTCCTTCTATTTACAGACCTAATGCCAATTAATGTGAACATCGATTAATGATATCGCCCGAGGCAATTTTCGCTCAACTAACTTTGATTTCGATAACATAGGACAGGTTTCGCAATCTACAGTTATTTGAATTCTTAATTAGTATTTTGCTTGCTCCTTGTGCACACATCGACATTAATTCATAGCCATATCTTATGTCACTCTTAGTCCACAACGATTTTACTTAACCTATCGTTCGCCTTACTTTACAATTCGACTATAAGTAAGGCTTCTCCTATAATTTAATATCTTATTTGTCCATCTTCTATTCACCACTCATGTGTTCATCATCTGAATACTCTTAAATCTCCCCATTCCACTACCACGTAGGTCAGTTTGCCAAGCAAAATCTGTTTCTCTTCCTCCCCTCGCCTCCCCGCCTAAACAAACCTCCGAATCCCAACATCCGACCCTTTATTTCTCTCCACTTCCCCTCCTGCTCAGTCCCTCAAATTCCATCACACCTTGTACCACTACAAAATACACCACCAGCTTTACTAGCCAGGGTGACTGCTGTGCCAATCGTCTGCCACCTAGTCTCTCTCGTTCATCACCATCAGACTTCTGTACTTCCCATCAGATGGCTTCAACATTACTCACTGTTGCAGGATTCCGGTCCCCAGGCCTGGCACCGCAGGTAAGTGGGATGTATGGGCCTCCAAAAATCTTGTGTTATCGAAGAGTTACTCTAGATACAGCTAGATATGCAGTCGTCTTCAAAGTTTTCTAAATTTATCTGACCACTTTGTATTCATCTTCAATTTGAAACATATTAACTCTAGTTAGCGTAGTTTTAGCTCAGTTATAAGTTAAGCAGAAGTAAAATTATATGATTTTTTTTCGTTATTGATTAGGTTTTCGAGACTACACATCTCATATGTATGATTTTTGTTTAGATAAAAAACCATGACTCCTAATCGAACCATATTTATAAACGCTGTAACAAATGGAAAGGTAATAAGAGCAGATAATTTATATTTGTCTTTTCCATAAATCTTCCAATTTTGACAGCATTGCCACCGTTGATAAGAGCGTAGATTCTCTAGTTTTCCAAGCCTTACCTTCCATTCTCGCAAGTGACACATTTAATTGCTTAATTGCTTCAAAGGCGCTGCCATTTTTTGCCTCACATTTACATGAACTTTAAAGTGTTGCTTGTGCGGGTTTTTGTATCGTTCCTTATGCATTATTGTGGCTCTACCTATCATTATTTTTGGTGTTATGGGATACTTAATCTCAGAGTAAAAAAACATATCTACCGTTTACATATTCCGATAAGCCGTTGCATCTCAAATTTCATTTTTTGCGGTTAGAAAATCACATGGAGATTTATTTTGTTCTTTGTTTCAACCTTATGCTTATTCTTTGATTCAAATTATAGTATTATTATGGTTGCAGTTTCATCACTTATAGCGTGCTAGCTCTCATACAGTTCAAGTCTCCTCTAAGTTTTATGAATTCCACTTTTAATAAATTTTTGCCCTAGCCACATTTCGGACCTAATGAACTTCCTGATAAATAAATTGTTGGCCTTTCATTCGTTTGTTATGTTTTCCTTCGAGATCCTTCAATGCGATTGATCGATAACTATATCTGGCAATGTGACCTCCATATATTACGAGGGATATTGAATCCACTGTATTTAAGGTGGTTATTGAAGTTATGATATTTTATGAATTAATTACAATGCAGAATTTAGCTGCTCCTTTTCTTTTTTATCTGAATTGAGATAATTCTTTCTACGTTGTAAAAGTCTTTCTATATCTAGGAGCATTCTATCGATAGCAAAAAGAGCCCCCTGATTTCCTATTTTAGGGGTCATTTTTGGAGATGCAATGCCCCCATACTTCCTTAGGAAAATAGGTTCTTGCTAATCATAAAGCAGGATACGATAATCTCTTGCATAAACCCGATGAATCGCAGTTAAATACCGTAATGCTTGATGGGTGATTTCCTTAGGTTGGATGAGCTATTTTAGTCTTTATACTACTTTCACTGTGATATCCCCATTGTTCACAGAATAGGACTGTCTTAGTCTTTTCATCACTTGACTCTAAAGAATTTATTTGGTGGCTAACACTTTCTGAATAAGAACTTGAATTATTCTGGATCAGTTTAGATAGGTTAGGGATTGATAGCTATATTTTCGCATATTTTCGCTTCCCGATTCTATTGCATTTCTCTTGGCCTTGCCTCCCACCTCGTTTTTCTCATTCAGGGTTATCTTTCCTGTTAATACTACTATTAGTAGTAGTGGGAATAAACTTTGTGAAATATTTGGTTCAACCTTTTTGAGTATTTGTTCGACCTTGTTTTCGCAACTTGTTCGGAGTGTCAGGGAGACCTTGTTGAACGTACCTAGTCCAGTGTCCTCTGCCATAGTATTCGTGATTTCCAGTATTTGACCATTGATTTGGTA